TGTACGGGTGGGCTATTGTAATGCTTCGGCAGCAACAAGATTTTTATCAGCATTCTTATCCTAATAGAAGGATTCCGGATCGCAAAACTTTCGAACGTATTGATCAAAGATTAAGAGAAACTGGTAAAATACGATTACTATTATTAAACAAAATGGATATTAAATAAATTTTAATGTCTTTAGGTCAGTTTGCTCCTGTTACTGCAAACAGGGGTGCTCCGCGAACAGCACGTACAGTTGAAGTAGAGGAAAATATACTGGACGAAGTTGCTGCTCATCCAACAGTTAGCATTAGGTCATTATCTTCTTTTACCAATGTTCCAAAGACCACTGTTGCAACAATCCTTAGAGAACAGCTTCTTCACCCTTACCATATCCAAAAAGTGCATGCTCTTAATCCTGATGATTTTCGTGCAAGAGTACAGTTTTCTCAATGGTTTCTTCAGAGACATGAGCAAAATCCTATGTTTACGAGATTAATTCGGTATACTGACGAAGCAAGTTTTGGGAGGAATGGAGTTATTAACTCCCATAATTTACATTATTGGTCTGATGAGAACCCACACGCTATTATTGAAACTAGGCACCAAAGACAATTTTATGTTAATGTTTGGAGTGGAATTATTGGTCCTTACTTATTGGGTCCATTTGTGTTACCCCCTAGACTGAATGGTCAACGTTACCTAGATTTCCTTGTGCATCAATTACCACGACTGTTAGAAGATGTTGATCTTGAAACCAGAAATGCACTGATATTCATGCACGGTGGGGCGCCGCCTCACTTTAGTGCTGCAGTAAGGGACCATTTAAACGAGGTATATCCTAATCGCTGGATAGGTCGCGGTGGACCTATTCATTGGCCTGCCCGAACTCCAGATATGAACCCACTTGAATTTTTCTTTTGGGGGCATTTGAAAAATCTTGTTTATTCCACACCTGTAACCACTAGAGAAGAATTAGAAGAAAGGATTTTTTATTGTGCAAATGAAATACGACAAAATCCTGAAATGTTATGGAGAGTGCAAAGTCTTCTGAGCTCGTATTTGTATAAGAGAAGGTGGAACTAATATTGAGAATTTAATATGAATTATATTAGTTACAAAATTTTGATTGTCATGCACTTTTCGTTTAGTTAGTTTAGTTAAGTCCAAATTCTCATAATTTGGAACACTGCTATTGCAAATTAATTGTCCTTTATTCTGATATGTAAAAGCCAACTACTATTAAACCTGTGTTTCTGTTAAATAAAATGTCTCAAATTAAACAGTACCGTTGTCTCTAAACTTGTTTTTCTACAAACGTCATTAAGGTATAATTTTAACGCATGCTGTCAGTCAATTTGTAAGTCATGTGATTTACCTTTAAAACCACTGTTATAAAATCACACTTTAGAAACTGTCAGTACACGTTAAAAATTATACAAAATTATATTTTATGGATATTCAACAAGTATACCTACCTTTTTTACGTAAAATACCATAAATTTTTATAAAATGATGGAAAATTTGGGGTATAGTGGTACAAAAATTTTTTTTCTAGAAATTTTGGTGGGGGGTGCTTTGCCTCCGGGCCTCCGTAATTATTATCGAGGATTTCATATTATCATCCAAAACAGCTTCTAAAATTATAGATCCAGCCAAGAAATTTTCTAAATTTATTGAAAAATACAAAAGTTACAGCAAAAAAACCATTTTCAATTCTCAACTTCAAGAGCTAATTACTCTACAGGGTGAGCCCGGAGGAAAAAATTTTATATGAACTTGTGACATTATTTTCTCATTATCTATCCATATCCGAGAGATTGCCCACCATTTCCGGGACACCCTGTATGTACATGTAGGTATAAAATTTGAACGTTGAATGCTTGCTGATAGGCGGTACAAAATTCTCTGGGCAAATCATTGTGGTGTAACTGTACCGGATGTCAACTTCCAATACTTAACTTTTATATGAAAAGATTATATAATCATCAGCAATTTATTACAGGATCAGATTGTGATTTCCGTTTTATTAAGCCATCGAAATTGACCTGTTGGTAAACTTAGGCAGCACAACCGTAGAGTTACTAGTCTAGGAAGATTATAAAATAATTTGACTTTCTTGCCACAAAATCATCAACGAATTTATTATTAGCATCAGCCCACACCTCTGCCAGTGATAAGTTTCTAAAGCTGGTATTGTTTTGTTTCATATCTACTGTCATACTAAATATGCACACTGAATTTGGTTAAATTATTTCAAATTAAAAATTCAAAACTGATTTTTTTTTAATTTTTGACACGTTATAGCTGGACAATTGCTGCCCTAAGACCCCACATTTGTATAACAAAAAACCCTTATTTTTGGCCACAGAATACGCTCCTGGATTTTTGACATCTACTTAAGAAACACCCTGTATTGTTGGCTGGTTTCTTCACTTAAAAGGCGGCCAGACTAGGCTATTTTACCTCCTGCTGGTGGCTGCTCGCTGTAAACATCGACAGCAAGCAACGCTGGTTTGGGTTATCATTAGTTTTATATGGTAAAAAAAGCGGCTGCTAGGAATTCATATTGTGCTATCAGCAGCCAGCAGCCATCGGGAGCTGGTAAAGCAGCCTAGTCTGACTATCGCTTTAATCTCACTGCCATTTAGATTTTTTAAATGATTTCATTTTCTTTATACATATATACATATTTAGATACCAGTGAACTTTTATAAAAAATAGCGAATAAAGGAAAGATTCCAAATTTGTTTATTATATAGGTAGGTACGTAGAAGGTGCGAAAATTTTAAATCGTGACGTATATGTATATACAGGATGTTTTAAATTGCATGCGCAACACGGCTATGTCTGAAATAGTTAGATATAGATAAGTAAATAAATTAGCGAAGTAATGTAGTTTGGTATAATAAATTCCCAAAGAGAAATCAAAATAGTTTTTTTGATTTGAAAGATTTTAATACTAAATTTTAATTTTCCTCTGCTTATTTAAAGAGCTACACGGAAATAGAAAACACAATTTTTGCTCCTCTGTTTGAAAGTGCATTATTGGATTATGTAATTTTCTTTTGAGTCTAATGATACGTTATTGCTCAGTGACGTTTCGGACCAGAAGAGTAATCATAATTTTTACAATAATGTTGTATCTTTTATAACTTTAACAATTTTCATAAATTGACAAAGAAAATTTTGTTATGACTATCAGTAGAATAAACATTATTAGAGGTATTGGAAAAATTTTAGTATGAATATTTCTTCTAATTCATTATGTAATAATTATAAATTATTATTATTCTATTAGAAGTTAATTATTTCGTTAATCGTTAAAGTTAATCTATAAATGTATTTAAATTAAAATAAAATATTTAAATATCAACGAATATCAATAATAATAATTTATGTTTACTCGACCTTTTAAAAAATAAGCGTTAACTCGGCGCGCTACTTTAGATCACATTTGCTGACTGGGAACGCGCCGGCGCACCACAAGAAACAGCTGACTTCCCGGTCGTCTTACAATTGGTTTCAAAATCAAAGTGCGGTGAATTCCAATTTAACAAAGTGTATACGTACTACAAACTGAATAATTAGTTGAATACACTCATATTCAATTACATTGAATATGAGTGTAAACCTATAACTAAATTCGAAAACAGTTATTATTTTACGATATTATTTTCAGAGATAGGAAATCAAGAAGTAACACATTTTGACAAATAAATAAAGTTGCTAAAAATTGATGTGTTTTTTCACTAGATTACGGTTTCGCTAATGTTTTTTTTTGTTATTTTTTTTGTGAGTGTTTGAATTGTAAAAAATGTTAATACCTAGTACATTCTTGCGAAAGGAGTGACACTTATAGTAGTAGTACAATAACGCAAAATTATTATTGATAGGTTTATATTGTAAAAAAATTGTAGAAAGAGGAGCTTTTAAACTATACAAATTCACTTCTCACTACAGGGATCTCGGAAACGGTAAGAGATACGAAGTAGCTTAAATGGGGGCAAAGTTGCGTAATCAGGAGACCAACATTATGCCTCAAAAAAATCAAGGCTAACATGATTAGTTTTCGAAATATTTAAAAAAGAAACGAAATTTTGAAAATCCATTTTTGTCTAATTTCAGCCTTGTTTAAGGTGATATTTAAAAAAGAACACTTAACATGTGATGGAAATAAGTTTAAATAACTAGGTGGATTTCGCAGGGTCTAACGACACTTAGAGTATACGATAATTCAAGAAACATAGAAATCTAAAAAAAATAGATAAATTTGGAACGACTATATTGAAGATGAATTTTTAGAGACAAAACATCTGAATCTGGTTCGAGCTGAGGCAGTACAGTATTGGGGGTCATGAAGGCTTGCAAAAAATGAAATAACATTTCTAGGGTCGTATTAAAAAAAATTAAATTGATGATGGTCCTGGAGAGACGAAATATTACATATAAAAATTGATTATGTCATTCGGTAGAAGACAAAAAGTTGCCGTGAGAAATTGTTCTTTATTTTCAATATCACCTAAAACAAGACTGAAATTAAACAAAAACGACTTCCAAAATTTCGGTATTTTTCAAATATTTCGAAAACTAAACATGTTAGCTTTGATATTTTAGAGGCATAATGTTGGTCCCGTGATTACGCACTTTGCCTCTAGTTAAGCTACTTCGTATTTCTTACTGTTTCCGAGATCCCTGTAGTGAGAGGCAAATTTGAATTTGCTTTAAAAATATATATCCTATTTTTGTATGGCTATTCAAATATTCGTAAATCTGAATTGAGTGTACAAATTTTCGTTCTTTTTTTTTCGAGACGAAGATATTTTTGACTTCTTGTCGAGATTTATTTAAATTATTCAACTGATCAAAAATCATCTCCCTGTCTCTGACTATATCTGAAACAACAGCGTTTTGCAACCAATTTAAAACATCCAGAATATGAAGATTACTCCTAGGATATAATATCGAACCAACTGTAATGAATGAAGATGAATAACATGATTTCCAAATGTTTTGTAGATGTAGTACCTCCGAAACTGGAATGCCCACAAAATATAACTACAAATACTTTATTTGGAAAAAAGTATGGACAGGTACACTGGCAACATCCACATGTAACAGGTATGTACAGGGTGTATTTAAATGACGGAGGAAATCCGATCGTGATTATTAGGCTAAATATTTTAGTCTTAAGTCGCTTCATTTGCATATTACATGGTGCTTTTTTATTTTTTGCTTCAACTATTTATTTTAGGTTTATCAGTAAAACTTGCTCTTAATTTTTTTTTTAATTTTAGATAACTCTGGTCTCGAAGTTCTGGTATGGGTTAAACCAGCAATGAATAATATATCAGATTTTAAATTTCAAATTGGTAAAACACCTGTGATATATTTTGCACGAGATGCTTTTCATAATACTGCAAAATGTAGATTCTTTGTTTTAGTTGAAGGTATAATGTTTATAAGAGTTATTTTCAATTCTAATATAATTGTCTTCAGATAATGAAATGCCATTAATAGAGAATTGTGTAAATCCTCCACCTTTTCTAACAGGCGACTCGAATGGATCTAATATTACTTGGGAAGAGCCTTACATTTATGATAACTCACAGGAAGTTAAGGTAAATAAATACGAAATAAAATTAACCAGCATTTAGAGTTTTTACGTGTTTCAATATGTTCATATCTAATAAATAATATTCTTTGATCAAATGTTACTATTACTCAGTCCAAAGTGAAATTTAAAAGAGATATAATTTCGTTATAATCAAACTGCATAATTCCGTAAATATATTGTTAGGATGGTACTCTGTGGTTAGGATGACTTCAAAAATTGTTCACTTCACTACATGTCAAATTATATTTAGGAAGATGAAATACTGTCACGTTTCTTGTTTAAAATACTGGTAAAAAAAAATATTATTATTACTTCGAGCTACTCGCTTGGCTGCTGAGAGGGAAAACACACAAATCAATAAATTTTTACAAATCATTATAAAATAACATACACTCCGAGGGGTTGCTTATCAAGTGGAGACTCCTGGCCATCAACTGGCTCTCAAGGTGGCTCCGGACTGGCCCCGATTCACTTTTAAATTATTGTGCAATACTGACATGTAATTGATTCCAATTATATTTATAAATTTTGTTCTATGAAATGAATTAAATTAATAAGTATTTGTACTGAGGGTATTTTTGTAAAAATCTACTAAAAAGATGTGTCCAAATAAAATAATGCTATATGTCCATACATATATATCTTTCAAAGTTTTGACTATATTTACAGGGTGATTATTTAAATTTTCAATATTACCCTTTTTCTCTCTAAAGTACTTATAGTTGACAATACTATGCAAATAAATCTATTTATTTAGTTATTTCCCTTGTGAAATACTTGTGGTAGGTATTTATCTGCATATTTTTAATTGTTCTGGTAATCAACCCTCATTTAAAATTTCACTCAATCTGTAGGCCTTGCCAAAATATTAGGCTTCAAATTCTGTTTCAAGGTTCTGCGAATTGTGTGAGTTATTTAAAATTAATTTTAATTGAAATAAATCCTAATATTTAAAGCAAACCTGATTGCAATGTATCTAGACAGTAGGTAACTACTACATTTCGCGGTTAATTAAATCAATTATGAATAGGCTTAGTTAGTGCGGCGCGGATTTAACAGGACCATAATCAGATTACAAATGAAAATATTAATATAAAGAGCAAGGCTGAGTAGAGGATAAAATACCTAATAAATTTAAATGACAAGAAATTGTTGAGGTATGAACTATAGGTATATTAATATATTTGTTGGTAACTCCTGGTATGTACCAGATAAAACTTTACATATATTTTCCAAAATGGTGTATCCTGGATTTTTTCGAACACTCTTTGCATTTTCTCTTTTATCGTACTGGTCGTATATTATTGGCATCGTATATATTTTTTTATACATTATCCATTATATCAAATTCATATAGGAATAGTCCATGTGATTCCAATTTACGGAATTACGGAACTTGGGGTTCTCTAGTTTGTTTAATGGAAAGAAAGGCGTCTGCAAGTTCATAGAAAAATACAAAGTCTTAAGCGCTGGACGAAGCTTTGCTCTTCAAATGTCTTGTCACTTTAGTTTTATAACCACATTTGAAATAATTTCCGTCTATTTATTTTCTCTTTTGGAATTTTACTTCACTTTTCCAACTAATAGTTGTTAATGTAAATTATGTTACTATTTATAAATAGTTATTTAAATATACACGGCGAATACAATTTACAGCAGACGTAAAAAAGAAAGGTATCGACGCGACACCAACTACTACAAGGTTCCGTAAATAACCGAACAGTTCAAAACGCGAGTCAGCTTTGAAGGCCACCTACCCTCGCGCCGGCTCTGTTAGACTCTGCACTTGCACTAAGCCTAATTATGACATTACTCTTGTAACAAAAATTATTTCAGATCCTAGCCAGTTCGAATAAGAGACAAAAATAATGTCTAGATACAGCCAATCTAATTTCCTTTGATGCTGCTAGTATACGCGCTTTTCTTGATTTTTAATAAATAACATTTAAACTGATGAGATAGGTTAGGTTTTTCTGAATGTAAAATGTACGAAAAAGACCTAAAACGTAAAAATAAATATTAAAGTTATTTGGCCTACTGTATATGTTATTATCAGCACTATCAATACCAGTGTGTCTTATGGTTCATGAAACTTCAGTCATAAGGTAAGTAAGTAAAAGTTTTATTGTAGGTCTACATTGTTATAGTAAATAAAGCTGTATAAAATGCTGAATCAAATCAAATCAAATTTATTGAAAGCTAATGTCATAAATAATTTATCTTAATTTGATATGGCAGATATTTTCTTCGTTTCTCTCGATCCATCGCTGAATTTTTGGTGGAAGATCTTCAGAAATACTCTCCCTGCTTCCTTTAAGGACCTCCCTGTGCCGGTGGGGCGCACAGCAAAGTCCCTAACGCGAAACGCGAATCTTCACCACCTCATCAGTTTCCGGAAACTGGCCGCACGTAAGCCCGGTTTACGACGTGCCAGTCGAGCACGAAGCTATCGTTTCACGGGTGACCGATGGTCGTCTACTTCTTTCTTGGGCCTAGTCGCTTCCTCGAGGGCGATTTACTGTCACGCCCCGTCGTTAGAACGCTGGCTCTGTCTTGGTGCTTCTAGGGCTTAGGGCAGACGCCGGCGTCAAACCCAGTGCAAAGCCGCTTGGTGAGTTGCTCCTGTTCTAGCTTCTGTGGGTGTCGAAAGACCGTAAATTCCTTGCAGAGCGCTCGGCAACGGTCAATCAACCCCACCGGTGATTTATCCCTCGTTGAGGCACGCGATTGCCACGGCGGTAAAGTTTATAGTCCGCAATAAAAATCACAGACTGAATTCTTTATTTTAATTCCAATGAAAATTGCGAACGTCGAAGGTAGACTGTAGTTAACGAATTCTTATGATGAGTCAATTGCTGGTCGGCGCTCAGACAACTGACTGTTGGAATACCCTGTATATCACGTAGCGAATGAATCCAATTATGAATTACCGCGACCTCAGTGGCGAGTAATTTAGAAAATTCGAGAATTTAGGTTGTAGAAATTACGTAGCGCATGCAGCAAATTACATGCGAAAAACCTCACGGGGTTTAATGCGATGCAAAAGGCTTAAATTAATTAAATTGCTCACGGCAAAATAGCTCAGTTCGAACTTGCGAGTTCGAAACTTTCGTAGAAAGCTAAATTACGATGCACAACCTCACGGGGCTGTGGTCAGCGCGGAATGAACATTGTTCCCTTTTTTCAGGGCCTTTTTATATGCTTCGTTACGTCACTAAACCGTTACTTCTGCGCGGGAGCCAATCACG